CTGACTGAGGGCCACCAAGGGCCAAGACTCAGGGAAGACGGTGTCAGGAGCTGGCAGGAGCAAAGGAGAAGTTTGACCTGGGCACCCGTGTTCACGGATCACCTTGTGCCCCGTCCTTCCCGGCTGCTCAATTGTCCTCATTTTGTAGGCGGAGAAAGTGGAGCTCAGAGAGGTGAGGTGACCTGCCTGAGGTCACACAGTCCCGCCTGATCCGCTGCATCTCAGTTTAATACATGTTCTAGAGAGGACGAGAGAAGGGACCTCGGTGGCCACTGCCACTGCCTGGCTCTGACTTTGCCGCCTTGAACCTGCCACCTCCTGCAGAGTGACTTGAGGGACCCTCTGTCACCTGTCTGGACCTTAGAGTGCTCTGAAAAATCCTGATTGGCCCCATCTGGAGGCCTGAGCTGCTGGAAATGCCGGTCAGCCTGGCGAGTACCTGGCTATGGTGCCTCTCTGTGGGGCCACCCAGAGCAGGGATCTGGGTTTGGGGGTGAGATGTGTGATTGGAGCAGGGGGCTTCTCGGTCACCGGGACAGGCTTAGGGAGTTGGTCAGGGACCTTCGGGGAGGCAGGTGAGAGGGACGGGCATCCAGGAGGTACTTCTGGGCTCTCTGCAGACATAAGCAGGGTGGAGGCCATCACTGGCAGCCGGAGTGATGGACAAGCCTCTTTCTTGTCTGGGCCTGCACTGCGCAGAGGGGAAGGCAGCTCGGAGAGGGAAGTGGACCGAGGCTGACTGATGAACCTCACTCCTCCTCCTGTCTGGCCTCCCTGATCTCTCCCTTCCTTCTCTCCTCACGCCGTCTCTCCTCTCTCCCTCTCGCCCTGACTCTCTTCTCCATCCATCTTCTCTGCCTTTCCCACGTCCCCACCTTGTTCCAAAATGCCGGAGAAGAACAGTCGCTCTCAGAGCTGTATCCGAGAAACCCACGTGTGTACTTGTGGTTTACCTACCTGTAGAAAATTTGTACCCTAAGATCTCCGCAGACTCCGGGCAAAGGGGTTTGAATTAAACTCCACAAATATTTACTGTGTGCTGGTTAACTGAGTGTACTTTGTGCTGGGGAGACCAGAGAGGTAAATGGGCATAGCCAGTCCCCCCAGGGGCCCCTGGGGCTGATGTTGGCAGGAGACAGGACCAGCCCCTCCGCCACCCCTCCTTGGGGAACCCTAAAGAGCTCTCTGTCCACCAGGGCTCCAGCACACCTTCTCTCTGACACCAGGCACAGAAAGGGCCCTGGTTGCCAGGTCTGCGAGCTGCTCAATGCCAACCAGCACCGTGGCAGGGCTGGCGAGGAGGGAAGCCCTGCCTTGCAGGGACCCAGGGCCTGATAAATAGCGCTTGGTGCCCTGCCGAGGGCTCACGGAAGCCGGACTTGGGATTTTTGCATCTGCTTCTTTCTTCCCTGCGAATTGTCCAAGATGATCAGACAGAAATAGAAGTTCGATTTAACACTTTTTTTTTTTTTCAGGACCACACCGAGCCTGAAAATAGGATGGTTTTAGCAGGTCCCGCGATGAGCAAGGGATCCATTTGCCAAAGCTCTGAGGGTGATGGGGAATTTAGAAAAAGGAGGGAAAATAAGATCCTACCAGCGACCTGGGATGGCAGCTAAGAAGACTGTGTCTTAGGTTCTTCGAGTCTCAGATGGGTGTGGGTAGTGGAGAGTTGGCGAGTAGTTTCGGCTGATACCTGATGATAACCCAATCATCAGGAGCCACACCACCAGAGGTCGGGTGCGGAATTGTTCCAGGGGAGCTCTCCTTTCTTCAGGCTATGCAACTGGCTTGTTCAAAACACAGCTGCTTTGGCCTCCTCGGCAAGTACCACGTGGACAGCTCCCCTGCCAGCCCCATCTGCCTGCAAGGGCAGCTGGAATGAGAATAGGCCCAGGGTATTTGCAGCTACAGAGATTAGGGCTTGTCTGTTACGGCAGCCAAACCTTGCCTATTCTGATGGCTACATTGGTGGTGGTGGTGGTGGTGGGGGGAGATGCAACTGGACTGAAGAGGCTGCTGTCCCTTTCCGCCCCTGCCCCCTTCAGAGTCCAGATAGGAACTCACCTTACACCTCAGTCACCTCCTGGCTGCCTTAATTTTTCACACAGCGCAGAGTAAGAGACGGAACCAAGTTTGGGTAGACTTGGCGGGTAAAAGAAGCAAAGTAAGACTATAGAGGTGGCCGACTCCTAGATGATCTGAGTTCAGAAGGCATCTCCTCTGCCTTTCTGACTTGTTTGTGCCCACTAGGTGCCAGTCACTAAGTCGAATACTACAGTCAGAGATGAATAAAGCTGAAGCTAGTAGGCACAGGGGTTTGAGTGAGAGGCAGGAGAAGAGGCAGAAAGAGGCCCTCTGGGGGCTGGAGTGATCCACAGTGGGGAGGGCGTTGGCCTTGCACATGGCTGACCCAGGTTCAATCCCCAGCATCCCATATGCTCCCCTGAGCACTGCCAGGAGTAATTCCTGAGTGCAGAGCCAGGAGTAACCCCTGAGCATTTCTGGATGTGACCCAAAAAGAAAAAAAAAAAGGATTCCTCCTGCAGGAAGGCCTGTGGGGCGAGGTGGTGATGACTGGTCACTCCATCACTCCATGGCCCAGTGATTAGATTGCTAGCCAGCCCTGCTCTCTATCACCTCCTGAATGGTCCTTCCATAGGTCCAGCGTTTTGTAGAGCATGGACATGGCTTCTCCCCGAAGGCCAGGGGCCAGCTGAGTGACCTGTTCTGTAAAACAGGAGGTAAATGAGAACCGGATATTCTAGGCTAAATATTGCAAGTGCTCATTTGGCAACGTTCTCTGCAAGTTACCCCTGCTTTGTGTGTGTGTGTGTGTGTGTGTGTGTGTGTGTGTGTGTACTTGCATGCAGCTCTGATCCTCAATCTTTTGGGGGTATGTGGAACCACTGGAGAATAACGGCATGGAAGCTTGTTCAGCTCTGCTGCCTTTAGCAAGCAACTCATTCACAAGTGAGTACAAATTAATATAGTACACACGGCTACATAAATATCGAGCTGCAATTGATTGTCCTCTGCAATCAAAGGGGAGAGCTGCTGGAGGAGAACCTGGGGGAAAGGGGACGCAAGAGGAAGAGGTAGTTTTGGCCGCACATCTCTGTGGACAAGTCGTGTCTCTGATGTATCGTGGCCAGGAGGATAAGGCCCATTGCATTCAGATTCAGTATTTATCCAACACCTATTCTATGCAGGCATTGAGTAGCATGGTTTTGTCTTTCATGCTCAATTGAGTAAATAGTAGTGAAGATCTGAGACTATGGCGCCAAAGTTAGATGTCTTCACAATGGTACTGTTACCAGGTATCGCTTAATCGCTGGAATGAAAACCCTTCTTTAACTTTTAAAAATACAAGGGAAACTGGCAAGGAATATAAAAAAAAAGATACTTCCCTGCCGGCAGACAGACAAAGAGAAAACGAGGTAGAGTAAGTGAAGTACAGTAACTGCGTTTTTTTTTTTTCCTTCTTCCAGTGAGCTGGGGTAGGTAGACGGTGCTCTGGGCGCCTCTGGCGCACATTCACTTTATTGATTGCTAAACAGCGAAAAGCATGGCAGTGGAAAATTTCAATCACTCTGTGCAATACAGGAAAGCAACGCCATCTTTCCAGTTACCTGCCAGGGCCACTGTTCTTTTTCTCTCCCATGCAGGAGCCGGACTTGGAGGCCAGCTGGGGCACCTTCATGCCCTGCCCTTCCCTCTGATAGGCTGGGGCCACTCAGGAAGGCTCTGCTCTTTGGGAAAACCAGAGCTTTCAAAGCCACTCAGTCCTTTTGCTTCGTGCACAGGTGTGTGTGTGTGTGTGTGTGTGTGTGTGTGTGTGTGTGTGTGTTTGTGTATGTGCGTGGGCGTGGGCGCGCGCGTGTGTGTGTGTGTGCATGTGTGCGTGTGTGTGCATGTGTGCGTGTGTGTGTGTGTGTGTGTGCGTGTGTGTGTGGTGGGTCAAAGACTCTGCAGAAATCCCGAGAAAGCTCCGCAGTCCCCCGATTCCCCGGAGGGCCGTGCAGTTTCCCTAACCTTGACCTAAACTCGGCCCTCGGCTTTCCACCCCTCCCCCCCTCAAAAAAAAAAAACCCCAAAAACGTGGCTCAAAACTGTGCTGTCTTTTAGAAAGAAAAAAAAAACAACAACAACAAACCCAAATCAACCCTCTCCCAAGCATCCGGGGTGGTGGGCATCAGGAAAAAGGGGCTCTCCCGCTCCCTGGGAGGCGTGGGGACCACTTCCCGGCCGCCCCCGTCCCCCACCCGACCCGGGGACCCGGGGATCCCGAGTCTCCATCCTCGCCCCGTCGCCCGCTGCGCTCCGGGCGGCGGGAGTGGGTGGCAGCGCCGAGGCGGCGGCGGCGGCGGCGGCGGCGGCGTGTGCTTCGTCTTTTTTTCCTCCGGGTTTTGTCATGGAAACGCTGACAGCAGCTCCAGACGGCGGCGGCGGCGGGCCGGGCCGTGCTGAGGGCTTTTGGGACCCTGCGGGAGCGCGCCGCGCACTCCCCGGGAAACAGCTGGACGCGACCACGTCCCGGGGAGGGGCGGGAGGAGGCGACGCTCCGCCCCGCGCCCGCCCCGCGCCCGGGGGCCGCGAGTTGCCTCCGCTGAAAAGCCAGCCCCGGCATCCGGACGGAGCTCGCCCGAGCGCGATGAAGTAGCCTCCGGAGAGCGGCGAAGCGGGGGGCCCTGTCCGACGCCCGCAGCGACCCGCGCGCCGCGGCTCCATCCCGCGCCCGGGCACCGCGAGGAGGAGGAGGAGGAGGCGGAGGAGGAGGTGGAGGAGGCGGCGGCGGCGGCGGCGAGGCCAGGAGGAGCCGGAGCGCGCAGCCGGCGGCTCCACGCAGCAGCAGCAGCAGCAGCAGCAGCAGAAGCAGCAACAGCGGCAGCTCGCCTTTGCACGGCCACTCCGCTCCCTTTGCACACCCCTGCCCTGGCTGGCCGGGAGAGGGGGGGGTCGCCCAGAGCAGCCCGATCCTCCCCCGTCTGACCCCCCCCAAGTCCACCTCCGCCCAGCCCTGCCCGGCGCTTGCCCGGGGGGTCCCGGCTCCTGCGCCCCGGGCGCGCCACCCGGACACTCCGGTCCCCGCAGCGGCCAGCCAGGGACAAAGCCATGAAGCCGGCGCTGCTGGAAGTGATGAGGATGAACAGAATTTGCCGGATGGTGCTGGCCACTTGCTTGGGATCCTTTATCCTGGTCATCTTCTATTTCCAAAGTATGTTGCACCCAGGTAGGGGGCGCGTTAGCGTGGTTTTTTTGTTGGTTATTGCCTTCCCTCTCGCGCTCTCGCTCGCTCCGGGCTTCTTGCCGCTGCTGCCAACCTTTACCTCTTCCTCCCTCCCGTGGCCACCTCGGGGCTCCCCGGGCTGCTCGGCTGCGCCCAGGACACTGAGTCTGGATAGGGATGAGGAGGGACATTGGAGGGGGGGGCGGGCGGAGGTGTGTGTGTGTGTGTGTGTGTGTGTGTGTGTGTGTGTGTGTGTGGGCGGGGGGCTCCTTGGCCTCTCGCCTGCCACTTGGAGGATGGGACCAGGAGGTGCCTTAGTTGTGTTTTGATTTCTTCCCCCTCCCGTTTCTCTGATGTCTTTGTGTCTCTTGTCTACCTCGGAGGGAGCAGGGGAAAGGTAGAGGTTGTGGGGAGCGTTTGGGGCAGGGTTGCGGGGTGGGGGGCGGGCTCGGATGGAAGAGAACGAAAACTCCCTCCCGGTCCTCGCCGGGACCTGAGCATGTAAGAGGCGCAGGGGGGCCGGGGGCGCGCTGCCCCTGCCTGGCCGGGGCACCCGGGGGTTGCACACCCCGGCGGCGCTGGGAGCCCCTCTGTTCCCACGTGGTGGAGAGAGAGACTTGCCGCTGCGCGCAGAAGCAGGTGGGGGTCGGCGCGGCCGGGCTGGGGAAGGGGCCTGGGCCGGCTCCGTACCTCCCCGCTACCAACCCCCGGGGTCGGGCTCCGCAGTGACCTTGCGGCTGGTGCCTCGGGGCCTGCTCCTTCCCCTTTTCCCTTTCCTGGGGCCCTGCACCCCGGGGCGCCCCAGATAACCCGGGGGCGCGCCTTGGCCAACGGGGTTTGGGAGGAAACTTCTTCGGCCGCCGCCGGTGTCCGGACCGTTGCACCCTCAGCCCGCTGCTCCTAGGCCCCCAGTGTCCCCCAGGGGCGCTACAGGAACCCTCGGGCCCCTCGTGGTGGCTTAGACTAGTTTCACATCTGAAACCCAGGACGGGGCGGGGGTGCAGAGCTGAGCCCCGAACCTGCCCGGGGGCGCCGCGGAAAGTTTGGGATTTGGGGAGAGAGGGAAAGAGGGAGGGGCGCCCTGGAGCGCGGCGCCTGCCCGGGGACTCTCCGGGCAGCCTCCGAAGCCAACAGGTAGAACCTTCCCGGCCAAACTCGGCTCCCTTCCCAGCCCTGGGGCCTGCCCCCCGCGCCCCCATCTCCACCTTAGCTCGGAAATCCATTTTTTTTTTTTAACGCCTCCAAGTCTCCTTTCTCGGCAGTCTCAGCAATCATTTGCTTTTAAATGGCAAGAGGAAGGGAGGTAGAACCGTGCGCGCACTCCCTCCGGGGAAGTGAGGTTGCTTTTTTCTTTTTTTTTCTTTCTCCCTCCCACCTTCTCGCAGTGGGGATCTAACCTGGGAGGAGGAGCCCCGGGATTCCCGGGCTGCAGCCTTTGGAAGGAGGCTGGTCGGGGCAGAACACTGTTCTTTGCTTCCAACAGGACAGGAGGGCCCCATCTGTCCCCGGGCGGCCTGGGAGCAGCAGTGACCAGGGCAGCTGCTCCGCCAGCCAGCCCCGGGGGTGGGTCTGATCCCCCACTGGTGTCCAGCCTCAGGACACCAGGCTGCCAGCCTTGTAAAAAGATGCTTTTGTTGGCAGTTGGGTATTTTTAGTTTCATGTCAGCAAATGCAGCGCCGTGTGTCTCCTCACCCAAACCGGTGGTTGGGAAACTTCTAAGGGAATTTAAAAATGGCCCTGGCTGGCACTGGGGCAGGGAGGCGGAGCGGGAGGAGACAGTGGCCATCTCAGAGGCCTGGCCAGACGGCCCCAGAGGGTGGGCAGGACACTGGGCTCCTCCAGTCGCAACCAAGTGCCGAGTGATTCATTCCTACCTCGGACATATGTGTAAGCCACGGAAAGTTTTGCCCGAATGGGGCATGCCAGGTAGATTCTCGGCAGAAGTGTCTGCGACCATACCGAGTCTTACTCTCATTTTCCCAGTTCCTGTTAGTTGTCTGGTGAGAAACGACGTTGACTGCTCCCGCCAACCACCCGTGGTTGTCACGTATCAAACCTTTGCTTTTCCGTGGTAAGCGTGAGCAAGTCATTGCTAGCCAGAGCTGTCAGGAAGGAGGCTTTTGGCTCCGTGTGCTGGCGGCAGTTAGAATAAAGTGTTATCCCCTGATTTCATCCCAGCCTGTAGGAACTCGGGACTCAGATGGTCCTCGGTGCCTGCCTTTCCTCTCTGCCTTCCTTCCCTTTCTGCCCGAGAAGAGCCACTTCTTATTGGTTATTTTCCTCTTTATGATCTCCTCTCTCACCCCCCCCCCCCCCAGTTTACAGCGAAGGAAACTTTTAATGCCTTCTATCAAATATATTTTTGTTTTTTTTTTTCTTTTGGTGTCACACCCATGGGTGCTCAGGGCTGATCCCGATCCTTGCCCATGAAACGATTTTGGGTCCCAGAGCTGATCCTTTTGCCTGACTGGGCAGTATTTCTCTCTCTCTCTCTCTCTCTCTCTCTCTCTCTCTCTCTCTCTCTCTCTCTCTCTCTCCAGATCACCCTCTGGGAGAGGCTTCTAGAAGGAATGCCACAAATTGTGTTGCTAAAAATTTGGAGACCCGTTGCAGAGAACTCCTGGGTCTGAAATAGACAAGTAGTAATCACCAAGGCAGTGGGTTCTTGGCTCAGTGAAGGCCAGACAATACGTGGAACGTGTGAGGGGAGAGATACAAAGGGAATAGCTGACAGGGGGCTTGATGTTCAGTCTCTCTCTCTGATTGTCCATTTTATTTTTTTTTTTTGGGGGGGCACACCTAGCAGTGTTCAGGGCTTACCCCTGGCTCTGTGCTCAGGGATCACTCCTGGCATGGTTTGGGGGACCATATGGGGTTCTGGGAATTGAACCCGAGTCTGCTGCATGCAAGGCAGGTGCCCTACCCACTGTACTATCTCTCCAGCCACTCTGGAGTCCGTTTCTTGTGTACTTTTCTAACTCATAAGCATGTGTGGTTCCTAAACAGACTTGAGTGAGTTCTGGTGGCTGGTGGGTACTATAAACATGGACCTTGTTTCCTTCCTTCCTTCCTTCCTTCCTTCCTTCCTTCCTTCCTTCCTTCTTTTTTTTATGGGGGGCTTGAGTGGGGTGGTGTTAGGCCACCCCGGGCAGTGTTTAGATGTGACTCCTGGCTCTGCTCAGGAATCACTCCTGGTAAGGCTTAGGGGACCATATGGAACACTGGGGTTGGGACCCAGGTCAGCTGCGTGCAAGACAAGCACCCTGCAAGACAAGTGCCCTGCCCGCTGTCCTGTCTCTTCAGTCCCTGAGGCCATTTTCTTTAGATCCCCAATGAATAGTATTTGCTCTGGATGAATAGTATTTGCAGAGGGTCTCTCGGAGGGCGGGGAACAGGTTGGAGGTGCCTTGTAACCCGAGTGTCCTGTACAGGGCCTCCTGAGATCAATAGGCTGTTTGCTAGACCAGTACTGAAAGTGGCTCTCAAAGACCCGTTTCCCCAGTTTTTAGGAAGGTTGCAACATAACGCCCCAAGAACACTGCTGGCCAGTAAGCAATAAGCTGGGTTTTGCCTGCTGGAAACACTTCCCTTTTATTCACCCCCACTGCTTTGGTGCTGAGGCTTGAACCCAGGTGAGGCACAGACTCTGCCAGTGAACGGCCTTCCTGGCTATACTTCCTTTTTTTTTTTTTTTTTTTCCCTTTGCAAATACCAAGTGGAAGCTCTCTCTGTCCCTGGGAACAGGCGGCTTGCTTGGTTCACTTAGGTTTTTATCCAGTCCATGTTTGTGGTGCCGGGGATAGAACCCAGGGCCACTGACATGCGCCCTCCTCGACAGAGACCACTTTTGCTTTGGTCTCTGTGACCGCCCGCTGGAATGGGGATCTGGTTTAAGTTCATCCGGGAGCAGAGAGGAGTCCCAATTTCCCAGGGTCTAGATGTGGTCACAAAGTATGGGAGGGCTCTGTGTGTGTGTGTGTGTGTGTGTGTGTGTGTGTGTGTGTGTGTGTGTACTTGCGTGAGCATGCCTGCATGTTTGGTGTTCTGGAGACTGGGGAAGCTTTTAGCCCCTGCCGGAAGATCCCCGCAGCCCTCTGCGGGTGGGTAGGATGGGCTGCTCTGCTCATGGAAGCTTCTGGCACGCGGGTCTGAGGGGGCTGTGTGTGTCTCTGGCAAGTCCTAGCTCGCTTGTACCCTGCGTGGTAGGCAAGCCCCGAAGACAGCACCTTTGAGCCTCCTTTTTTTCTTTTTTTTTTTTTCAGTCAATTTTTGCACCACCACACCTGGCAGTAAGCTCAGGGCTGACTCCTGACTTAGTGCTTAGGTAACCCTGTGAAGTACCAGGAATTGAATCAGGACCAACCACTTGCAAGGCAAATACCCTAACCCCTACACTACCTGGCCATGCCGCTTTTTGGGGATGAGGGTGAGGGGAGTGGGAATGGTGTCATGCCTGTTGGTGCTTAGGGGTTACTCCCAGGTCAGTGCTCAGAGATTGCTCCTGGTGGTGTTTCTGGGAATTTGCAGTGCCAGGGATGGAACCAGGCTTCCCGCATGCAAAGCTTGTGCTAAGCTCTGAGCCTGGAGTGACGTCTGTGTCACTCCCGGCCTGACGTCTCTGTCACTCCCAGCCTGATGTCTGTGTCACTCCCAGAGACTGCTGCTGGTGGAGGATTCCTGCCTCTGGGAGAGAAACCCGGGGAGCAGAGACAGTTTCTTCCGTTTCTTTCTCTCCCTTGCTCCTTCTTCCTTTTGTGATGTGTTTGGCCTTCCCAGCTGCCTGGGACATCTTTGCCTCGGTTGAATGATGTGTTGGAAGATCCGATCCTTTATTTAAAGATTTCTGGCCTAGCTGCTTTGTCGTTTCGCTTGATTAGTTTGACTGGAAACACTTTCATATCATAATTTCCCTCTAATTATAAACAGAGTCTGTGCTGGCTTTCGAAAATTTAGAAAGTAGCGGGGAGAAACCGCCATGCGTTTCCCCACCGATTGGGAATTC